TTTCTTTGAATGATTGGTCCTCCTACATATGGTAACCAGGAAAAGCACGTATGCATAGTCAGAACCATACCCCTTTTAGATGAGTTGTATACAGCTAATATAAACACTATGGTTTCTGTTCTAAAGCCTGAAAATCTTGAAACGCAGAAGAAATGCTTTTCAGGTATTTCTGACTCGCTGAAGATCCACTTACTAATTTATTTTGTGTAGGGTTTGGGGAGAGATAAAACACATGAATTCCAGAGAAATCATTTTATAAGTTTGTGTATTTTAGCAACAATTAGAATAAGATTAAGTATGTTCTTAAATGTATCTTTTCTATGTAATGAAGTACTGTGAAGATAACAGTGAAGCATCACTTTGCTGTGGCGTAAGTATTAATCAAATGTGTTACATGATTAAGAGCTAGACAGCAGGGTGTGCTAGAACAACAGAGCTATTGCTTATTGTAAAAAAAAAAAAATGCTTTTTTTGTGCATGAGAACCTTTTTATAAGCATGAAAGAAATAACTTGTTTTTAAAGATGTTATTTTTACTTGATTTTTGTATCTGATCCTTTCTCTGAGTTAGGCTTTTGATTTCTCATAGCCTCCTTCTGTGGATTAATTGTAGTTTTGCAATAACTCGGACACTGTCTCTCAAATCCCATACTGTACTAGGTGCCACTGACAGCTGCAGAAAACTTATTATCAACCCAAAAGGTGCAGCAGAAGCAGTGAAATGATTTAAACCTTGCACAAGCAGGATCACAAAACTGTCTCAGCCCTGATCCAAAGCCCAGGCGGCGCCTTGCGAAGTTGCCGAGGTCCTCGTGGCAGAGTCTCGATCTTTGCACTTCTAACCAAACCCCAAACGACCCAACTGGCAGTGGGCTCGCTACCTGGGAGAAGGATTTGAAGGTCTGAAAACATAGCAGTCCTAAGGTCAGCAAGGTGTCCGGGCAGGCCAGGGCTTCCTCTGCTGAGGCAGAATTAATTCTCAAGCATCAATGCGCCGCGGTTTCCTTTAGGCATGAAACGTCTCGTGGTCCCTCTCCTAGGCGCCAGAGACATTCAGAGACATCTTGAAATTAGGACTTGCACCCCACGTGGTTTTACTTGCAGCAGATTCAGCCCTGTTTGCTTCATCCTCTGTGGAGTAAGGGCTGGAAGTCTTGTGCGCATCTCTTATTTCCAGATTTGTTCTGGTTACAAATCTGCTCGCTCTCTTCCTGGACCAGGGCATGAACAACCAAGCTTATCTTTCAGTACTGATGTGCTGTTGCATCAGTTCAACCCAAACTTTGCCTGCTTTTAAGTTTCTTTGTCTTCTGTTTTTCTCTGCTTCCTTTCACCTCTTTTCTTTAGCTTCCCTTCATTTCTCCTTCCCCCCTCCTGATCTTTCCTACATGCTGCTTTTGCACAACCTGATTCTCTTCTAGTTATTCATCAGGGAATCACTATTTGATTATTTATGATATTCTTTTGGAAACTTATGGTATCTGGATGAATTATGTTTTAGCTAGACGACTAGAGTAGGAGACTTGATTCTTTCTCTGCTTTTTATTTATCTACAAAAGTAACTTTCCCATGATTTTGCATATTTTATCTGCTTTAATTTGCTTATTAGCAACATTCCAGACTTGCTGGGGGTGCATTTAATTAACATGGAAAGTTTGAAGGCTTGGTTCTCCACTGCTCTGCACCGCTGTGGTCATCTGTGCGGGGAGCGCACAAGTGCCATTCGGGCAGCACGCGCTTGCCCTTGGCTTTGACGGAAGCGGTTGTGCAAGCGGCGCGGCAGCTGGCTTGGCCTCCTTGCGCCGTCGTATGCACAGCTCCCTGAAATAGCAACAGTTAGTTCCACCTCGTAGCCCTTAAAACATTTGTTTCATGAATTACTCTGAATTACTACTTTTTTTTTCCCCTTGTTATGTGAATTTCAGTTAATGTACAACTTGTAAAAGTCACGCGTTTCCTGCCTCCCGAGGTGTTTCCATTTGAAGTAACCCATGGAGCTTTTCTGTCGGTGCTTGAACTTAAAGTGGGTATGTGCAGTTTATCGCTCCTTTGCGTCTTTCTTTTTAAGCTCTGTCATAATGGTCGAGTGTGTGCTCAGCCTTCGCAGTGAGGTGATCATCTTCTTTCCTGCTGTCACTTCTTGCATGGGGTCATCTTCATCCCAACCTGTACTCTTCCCAAAACGGCTCTAAGCGCAACAGGATCCTGAATGACAAGTTTCTGGGATTTCTCACTCGTGCAACAGTTGCTGTATTTAGTTCCTGCAGGTCTCTGTGATAACATAGCGGTGGTTTCGCAGTTATTCGAGATGCTAACACCGAGATGTGCCGGAGGAAGCTGTTCTTTATGCTGCATGCACTTATATCTCATCCGGAGTCAGAACTAAATTCTTCGGTTTCAGACTTGCCTTCATTAATAGCAGATCAAAAGTTTGAAAGGAAGCCTGGCATCCTTTCTTCGTACAGCCTGGAAAAACCTGTCGGGATTACTCTTTCTAGTACTAGAAGTTCAATGCGTGAAAGTAAGCAGAGACCAACCCCTCAACCTCACCCTGGCGATAAACACACTAAAAATAATCCTTAGGAAATAATCTGTGGGTGATTTTTCGTTGCTTAAAACTTTGTATCCTGTTTCGTATTTTATTTTCCCTTAAAATTTGTTTCAAACGTGCGCCTTAGCTGCTTCTACTGCACAAACCTGAAGACTGAATAGTTCATAAAGCACTGAAAAGAATTGGCATCATGTTGTATCGTGGACAGAGTTTCCAAGTGATTTAAAAATATGGCAAGACCAACTAAAATGTGTTGCTTTTGACAATGTGTTGAGGAGCTACCGACCACAAAAAGCAAGATGAATCCTGACAAACCTCTAACGTATTGCTCCGAGGTGTCTGGAGAATGTTTCCGACAACCATTCAAAATCGCACCCTGTTAGAATGAGAAAAAGAATGTAAATAACCACGTTCTGATGAGAACTCAAGATTAATACTTTGTGCTTAATCTGGGTGGTCAATGACAGGGAAAACGAAATCGCTGTAGGTGTGAGGATGTCTTGTCAGCCCTGACTCCAGGCGTCCCGCTATCGTTTGTCTGTATCATGAATTTAACGTTTTAAAAATGTAAGTGTGCGTTTACATTTCTTGATTTCGCTTTTTTGGTTTTTTGTTTCGTTGTTTTAACTGTCATGGGAAGTTTTATAAAATGCTAATTATTTACATGATAGACTGAAGGAGCAGTTAACAATCCAAGGATAAATCTCTATTTAGTGTTGTAGGGAGCTGTCATTGTGTTCTTACAAGTATGTATTATAGAAAATTACTGCGCATGTGCGATAGATAATTTTCAAATATTAGTATATCAGAAGTTTACACATTAAAAGAAAAAACTCCTTTATGTACAGTAAGTAACAGCCTGCAAAATTTAGTCTAAAAGTTGTCTTTTTTAGTAATAGAAGTGCAAAGACCTGTTGGAAGCTTCTACGTTGTTTTAATGTCACGTTTCAGCCCACAGCAAACTTACACAACTGTGCTATGAATCCCTGAAAAATTAGATTTCCAGTGGAATTGCTGTCACAGCCTTAACTCTAGTATTACAAAAAATGGTGCTTAAATACATGTATGTGCATGGATGTGGGTACCTGATAAGAGTTTGTGAGGATTTGAAGTAAAACCAAGTGGTTTGGTGCTGCGTTTGCAAACAAGCTAAATACTGCTGTTGAATAAGTACAGTCACGTTTGTGAATTTACAGATGCGTAAATATTTGCAAAACATTTAAACTCGTGGACAATTCAGAGCAGTGTTTCTGTTTTAGTTTTTGGTTTTTTTAATTGGCCAGTACTGCATATCGTCCCGATTTCTGTGTCCGGTAAGCGTGCGGGAAACGGAGAGGCTCCCCCGGCTTTGCAGACGAAAGGAAAATTAAAAATGCTCCACCTCTGTTCCAAAAAATGCCTCCTCGGAGAGCGGTGGGCTACTCAACTATATTCAGAAATCAGAGGCTGATTATTATTTTTCACTAGAAATAATATATAGGCTACTCATTCTTTACGTAAGAGTCATTACAGCAGATTTAATTTAGAAATACCAGTTTTTACAGTTGATCTTGGAGCAAGGAAGTTGCATGATCTAGGCTCTACAGTTCATGTTCGGAGAGCGGTGGGCTACTCAACTATATTCAGA